AAGTGGGCCACTGGCTAGGTAACTACTGACAAATCTTCATTAGCATCTATTGAAAGTTTAACAGGCTTTCTCCTTCTGTTGGCAGTCAACATGGTTCCCTCGGGCTGTGAGGCCAACACCCGTGATCCTGTCAATCTGCCTTTCTACTATGAAACACTTTCTGAGCAATTTCTAACAACTGAGACCAATTCATTCCTGCAAACCCTTCTAACTTCTGTAGTTTGTGTCAGATATCTGGGGCCCACTGAGCAAGACATAACTTTTTGGTCTTAAGGTCTCTTGCAAGCAGCCCTGCCTGAGAAATGTGACAGAATGAGTCAGGAAACCCTGAGAAGGCTCAGATCACCTCAGCTGTATGCGTATAGTTAGTTAAGGCCTTCATGTGTTTCTAAAGCCAAAATCTGGTGGATCCCAGTAAAAGGAATCTAAAACTAATCAAGCATATTCACTATAGGTTTACCTGAATAATTACCTGGGTTTTGGTATCTTCTAAGAGGAATAAATTTTCTGAGAAATTAGAGCATGTACAATCAATGCATGAGCACTCAAGCTAACAGGTAAATTTACAAACTTTTTTGAGGCATAGCAATTGTAACTCACTAGCTTAGACCCCTTTATTCATGGAGACTGACAGTTTTCCATAAGGCCCTCTAGCTGCAGTGAAGAGGTCACATCTCTATTTACTATCAACATGAAATACCTGCATTACATCAGAAATCAACCAGACTAACTTATACACTTATCATGAAATACAAAGCATTCAGTCAGATTAAACCAATGTCCCATTCAGGGTTTTGGATATGTCCCCCATTGTAAATGAGGGGCACTGCCGAGGGATTTCTCCTTTTAGTACTGTGGCTCTGAGTTTTATGTCCTAAAGACAAGGCCTGACTCTATCTGTAGGCCCAAAGCTATTAGCCACTATGTAGTCAGTGTCTTTAGAAACTTTTTTTTCACACTGACAGAATTTTACCTGTCAGACACCATTTTAATGAATAAAATCCTCAAAACATGATTAGTAGGTGGCTTGACAACAATTTACACCCTCTACATTTTATTTTTTTAATTTTTAATTCATTTTAATGATCAAAAAAAGATGAAGCAGTTTCAAAAAAGGTAAGTAGGACAGTTACAATAATTAATAGGCACTTGATATTCAGACATAGTGAGGTTAAGCTCAACTGCTTATGTGTTAGGGTAATAATATCATTAAGCTTCTCTTCTGGATGGTTAACAACCTAAATTTGCAGACCAAAAAATTAGAGAAAAAGAATGGCTACAAGGGTAGCCAACATTTTGGCCTGATCTCTTCAAAGTCAGTCAAGACTCAGGACATAGGATATCCTGTACTCTAACATCCTGTAACTCAGGTGTGTCCCAAATTTTCTGATCAAGGAGATTATGTGGCCACAGAAGAAAGTGATTGATAATGTAGAGTGGGCCTAAGGAGAGGCACATGGAGAGAAAACATTCTCTCAGGCTTTCACAGAAAACAAATTCATCAAGCAATGGCAGTGACTCATCCACGTGGCTGACACTGACAAAAGATCTACAAGGTGCTGTACATGGTTCCAGGGTAAATCCTGGGGATTTGACTGACCTTGTCCAATACAAAAGTTACATTTTTGTTATATAGGTTTTGCTTTATCTTGACCTTAACCATCCAGCAGAAAAGTATAAAAATGAAGTACAAGAAATTGAAAGAGAAGCTGTAAAAAAAAAATCCATCTTAGGAAAAACAGAGCTCATAACTGAGGCTCTCAACAGATTAATGAATAACTTTTTATCAGTATTTCACCCCTAGTTCGAGCTGCTCTTGGGATGAATGTGGTCATATTATTGTAACCATCAAATTTAATACAAGACCAAGCAAATGTAAAGAAAAAAGAAAACCAACCCATTGGATGAGGTGTCTATACTTCTTCAATATCATCTCAATGTAACCAGCTGTGCCTTTAAGAATCTTGTCTCACCTGGGGATTTAGCTCAGGGGCACAGCACCTGCCTGGCAAGCATGAGGTCATGAGTTCTGTTCCTGGTACCAAAAGCAATCTTAAGTCAAGCTGAGATCCCATTGTGAGGTAATAAAAATTAGGACTTCAACGTGCAAGATGGAGGCGCACTCACCCTTGATGGATCCATCATGAGTGGATGTGCAGGAAGATGGCTTTGTAACGGGTTGGTCTGTGTGAGATCACCTTAGGGTAAGAAGCAAGATCAACTCAGAAAGTGAGTAGGTAGGGTAAAACCACCACTGGGTGCTGCTCACTTCAGAATAGGATGGTGTGGAGGAAGGTTGCCTCAGAAGAAATAGGGGCCTAGTAAGATCGCCTCACAATGCATGAACTCAGAGAAAGGTCACTTCCAAACAGGTGTACATGGAGCAAAGTCACCTCAGAACACATGTCTACAAAGCAACGTTGCTTCAAAGCAGACACATGTGAAGTAAGAACCCCTGAGAATGGAGGGGTGCTGGGTAAGATCACCTCAGAATGAATGGCTCTCCAGAGTACATTCACCTCGGTACAGATGAAGAAAGATCACCTCACACCAGATCTGTGTGCAATCACATCACCTCAGATCTGCTGGGTACCAAGAACGATCACTTCAGAACGAATGGGTGTGGAGCAAGATGACTTGATTGCAATTTTCACTTCTCTAATCTTTAATGATGCTCGCCCACTCCCCCGTGCTGCTCTGAGCCCCTGCCATAAGCTCCGGGGGTCCTTCTGACACAGAGGAACTTCATGGCTGCACATGCAATCAAGCAGCCAGCAGGTGCACGAGTCGCATCTTGCCCAGGTTTACACAGCGTGGTCCAGAGCCCGAGAGGGCTGTCCCAGCAAGCATCAGGCATCCCTCCAACCCCGGGATTGGCCACCTTAGTCCTTCCTGCTTTGTCTCCATCACACACCTGCTCCGGTCTCCCCTTTTGCTTAAGTTGCCCACCCACGCCTTGGCACTGTGTCACTACACCCCCACTCCCGCCTGTCTCCTCTACCACTTTCTTTTGAAACTTAGTCATGGCCTTGCGCTTCTTACCAGCACCGCTTCCTCTCCTTTTGTTCATGCTGCTTTTTTCACTATCTTCTATCAATCTTTATCACATAATCAAACTGAGGAGATTAGTAAAAGTGGAAGGAAATGATGCCCCATCAAACAGCTTCTGCAGGACTCCTTTCCCTGAAGACAGCCCTTCCCATTAACCTGGCTGGGCTCCTTTCTGACAAGGGCATGGGGCAGCCATGGAGAGAAAGTGTGACCCTGTGGCTTGGCTCACACACACACACACACACACACAACTACTACTTCCTCACTCTGCTACTGCCCAAAAGGCTTCCGTTGTCAGCAGAGCTTAAGACATGGAACCACAACGCCTTAGCAACTTCCTCCATGCCCAATTTGACCCTCCCTTCCCTTTGTATTCTTACAGTTTGCTACACATGTCTGTGTATTTGAGGCACTGGGGATTAAGCCTGGGGCCTTCATATTGAGCTACATCCTTGGATCTTTTTTACTTCAATTGCTTATGGCAGGGTCTTGCTAAGTCTCTTGATTGCCCAGGCAGGGCTCAAACATGTAACCTTCTGCCTCAATGCCTGAGAGTGCTGGGATTGCGAGAAGGCATGCCAGGCCTGAGCGGTTCGGCATATTTGAAGTCTACAGCCTGACATTTGAGACATGCTCACGCCGCAAGTGGTTACTCCAGTGGAGTAAGTTACATCCCTCATCTCATATAGTTATCCGTCTTTCTGTGTGCGGCAAATGCTGATAAATTTTATTCATATAGCAAAACTCCTCATCACAATAAAGCACTGCTACTGAACACATGCTGCCTTAACTCTGGACGCCCATTCATCCCACACAGGTGCTATTTGGATCCTCTGAGCGACGCCCCCCCCCCCATCTTGCCAACGCTGCTCCCTGTACACTCTGTTTTATTCTGGTTTTTTATCCCTGAGCTTCTCATGAGCGCCCACGCCTCAGTGATGCGGTGCATGGTTTGCCTTTCTGCATTAGGATCTTCACTGCTGGTCTAATGCCCTCAAGAATCACCCAAGCTGTGGCACGGCAGGATTTCTTTCTTTTTAGAGGCAGAATGTATTACGTTGTGTACACGAATGTATTTGTCACCATTTCATCCATTTTTCCACCCCATCCGGAATTAATAACCAAAAGAACTCAAACAACTCGACTGCGGAAAAATAGCCTTATTTCAACATGAGCAAAACATCTGAACTTTATTTATTTTTCAGACAAGCTCTGAAAGTGGCCAACAGGCATACGAAAAGGCGCTGGACAGCCCTAACCATCGGGTGGATATAAAACAAAACCACTAGGGATATCACCGGCCCCATCAGGATGGCTGTGACCGAAAACGGTGGGCGGTGGGGAGAGGGAGCAGGTGTCGGTGAGCATGTAGGGGAAAGGGAGCCCTTCCGCAGCGAGGGTACACTGGTGCAGCCCTTGTGGAAAACGGGATGAAGGCGCCTACGGAAACTGCAGTCGGAGCCACCATGCCCCCACCCTGCTCTCTTCTCGAAATACGCCCGCACAAAGTGGAGTTTCTTCCTTGAAAAGACACCTCCTACGCGCCCCCGCCATTGCAGCACGGCCGCAGTACCACACCCGGGAAAGGAAGCTCACTTGCGGCTCGACTTCCACTCGGTAGCTGGGGGTCCCCTTAGCCACGCCCGAATGGTGTCGCCGGGTCAGGAAGCCGTCCGTGCACGTGTTCTGGCCTGCGCCCCGTTCTCATTCCAAGGGCTGCTCACAGCTCCCGCCTCCTGCCTCCCGCCTCCCACAGCAAGTGGTAAATTCCCGGGTCTTGCGGATCATCACCACACCCCAACCCCAGGGGTCCGAGGAAAGGGTGGACATCCGTAATCACGCGGTGCGTGTGCCTCCAGCGAGTGAACTCGCAGGAACCCGAAACCCGCCCTGATTTGAGCCAGAGCCCCAGGATTTCAAAGCTTCTCCCTTGAGATTTTTTTTTTTTTCAGAACCAGGGATTGAACGCAGGTCCTTGCGCTTGCCAGCGTCTGGCTTGAGGGCTGGGCTTCGGGGGCAGGGGCAGCACCCTTCTAGAACGCTGGCTGAGGCACACCTACACACAGCCCGCCACCCTCTCAGGACAAGGTGAGAGTGGCATACACGCAGGCCTCAGGGTCCTGGGACAGCAGCGGGGCCACACCTGCCCTGGGCCTCACTGGGTGCAGCTGGGCATAGGTCACCTCCTGTGGGGCCTCCGCCAAGGGGACCTGAAATCCAGAAACAGAGAATGGAGCAAAGGGAGCTGGCAAGGGTGGGGCTGCCAAGGAAGGAGGTGGAGCGAAGGGCTCACCAGTGTGTCCCTCTGTCTGGCCGCCTCAGGCTCAGCACCCTGCGCGTCATGATCTGCACGAAAGACGAGTGAGGGGACTTGGCTAGGCGCCTTGGATCATCCAGTCCTCTGCTCCCTGCTTCAGAGCTGGTCGGCCGAAGGCCGCAGAGAACAGAGGTGTCACAGGGCAAGGCGGCCCCGTCACTCCGGGCCGTTCCTGCGTGCCTCCCAGCCCACCCTGAAGGTCCTTTCCACCCAAGGGGCCTCTGTGCCTCAGGTCGCTACCTTCACTTTCTCCGTGGATCAGCACAGGTGGGCTGGAGCTGAGGAAGAGAAGACGTAAATATCCACATAAGTCCAACGCATTGTAAAATAATTGGAACTGAAAACTTGGGAGGCAAATTTTCCCACCTCTCGTGCCTCATCTGGCCTTTGGTCCCATCGTAAGCAGCCCCTACGGAGAGATAATGGTCAGTCTTCCGGGAGCCCACTGCGCCCCTCCCCACACGCTTCCAGATGAACCCCCTCACCCCTGGACATACTGCGCTTACCCCGACGCCGGCGTAGGCAGAGGAGGAGGAGGAGGAGGAGCAGGACGAGGAGAAGGAAGGCAGCGGCAGCGGAGGCCACAATTGCAGTGGAAACATCCAGACCTGGGGATTGGCAAAGGGCAAAGAGCTGTGGCTGAACTCCTGGTGGATTAATCTACCTGTTCAAGGAACGGTCTATAGTGTTGAACTTGTACCAGGTAAGTTACTGAATGTTTGGGAAAAGGTAGCAAAACTCCCCGGGAAAATAAAAATACAACAGATGGACACGGTATACCTCAGTGAGACAAATTCCACGATGAGAAAAACTCTACGTGGGAAGACTCATTACGGAACGTGAGCACTGAAGGATAAGAAAAACACAGAAAGGAACAACAGGTAGAGAGACACAGGCACAGCAGGGGACGAGGAGGATGGGTCTTCCCAAGGGAGACTGTGATGCCAGGGGTGCCCAGCCGAGCTCTGAACGTGAGAATGAGGATCCTAAGCCAAACACTGACCTGCAGGGGAATAGGCGTAGGCTCTTTTAATTTTATTAAGAAAGAAACAGCAATGAGACAGTTTCAAAACAGGTTAGTAGGACAGTTACAATAATACATTGCATATGGTTGTCTTCATAGTAGTTATTCAGGGTATAAGATTCAGGCATCGTATCTTGTCTAAACACTATTGGCATAAATCTTTCTTCTGATTGAACTAAGAGAATGCCTTCGGCCAGCCAGCTCTGAAGCAGGGAGCAGAGGACTGGATGACGTAGGAATTCAGCAAAATAATCCGATAGGGTCCAGTAGTCCATAATGGTGGTGGCTGATCCTCAGAACTGGCCGTGTCAGAAGTTGTTGACTTGAGCCTTTGACAGCTCAGCATATTAATAGGGCTTTACTTTTTATACCTCATGTTTATACTTTTCTGCTGGATGACTAAGACAAAGATAGAGAAGGACTTAGACTCTTAAATGGAACAAACTGGGCACAGCTGTATAAATTTTCCATGGTTTATGTAGGGAGAGAAACCAAAAAGGTAATTAAAATCCAAAATGTATAACAGACATTAGGAAATAGGAAGAATATGTTCACAACAAAAAGGAACAAGAGAGAAGAAAGGGAGAAAAGGAGGAAGGGAAAAAGAGAATGCAAGGAAAATTTGAAACAAAGGTTTTGTAAATGAGGGGGAGGGAGGCTGAAGGGAAGGGAGGAAAATGGGAGAAACAGAATCTTGATGTGTCTTGTACAGGTTCAAACTACCTTTGATGAATGTGATCATTATGTTTATCTAAAATGAGATATGAAATTAATTTTAAAATAGTAAGAGTAAAAGGCTGCCCTCTCTGAGTGGTGGACAGAGTTCAGAGTCCAAGTGGAGAGAGGAGGCGTTAGGGAGAAGGCACAGGCAGCTGCTGACAGGTGATGCAGGCAGGAGAAGCGTGACAAGGCGCTGGGCTTGACATCTGACGGACAGAAAGCAGGACACATGAGGGTGGGGTACTGAGTGAAAGGACCAGTGATGGACCCTGTGGCGATGACATGTGGTGGCTGCTGTGATGGAGACCAGACAGGGACACACAGATGGGGATCTGTCCATCACAGGGCTCTGTGCAGATGCTCAGTGGCTGCCTGGGTGGATGGCAAATCCTCCACGGGATAAAGAACAGGGAGGCTAATGGGAGCATTTCTGACTGGGAGAAAAGATGAACAGCTGTCATCAGATGTGTCCAAATGCTTCAACCTTCCAACACTCCTCCACAGACACTCCCTACCCTGTTTCTCCCTCTCATTCCTTCCTTCCTTGGGCTCAGGTCTCCTCTGCCAATGTTCTACCTTCTCAGTTACTTAGAGATCCCAGAATGCACCTGGCGAACCATCTCACACATCTGTGTTCTGTCTCTGCCACTACCCAAGCCTCAGGCATGTGGTCCCCCTCGATCCTGAGAAGCTCCAGTGTCCTAAAAAAGCTGCTAAGGCACCCAGAGAGCAGCCTTCTCCACAAAGAAGATGGAAGCTGTCCCTTCCCGCATAGTGCCACAGGATCAGGACCATAAAGCCATCATGGGAATCCGCAGTGAATGTGTGACTGCACTTTCCATTGTGCTGAGGGCCACGAAGACACCACTGTGGTCACAGCATCATCTCAGGAGGGTACATGTGACACAAAGACCCAGAAAGTCAACAAGAGTGAAGAAACCAGGAAAGATCCTTGAGCTTTTCTACCGCCAGTGCTGGTGATGCTCTTGCTGGGACACACACACAGAGGCAGGGACAACTGGTGGAGGGGCCACTGGAGTGACACAGACAAGAGTTGAGTGATGCATCGCCTTTCACACTGACAACACAGAGCACACTTGAGCTGCACATGCCCTCCCCTCCCCAACTGACTGAGAGACTTCTCCTAACATTAACTAAACTCACTTAGTTTGACAGAAAGCAAAAGGGGGTTGCTGGGCAGGGTCCATAGATGAGGGCTGATGCTTTGAGTGGCATAGCAAGTATAGGGCCCAGCCTGGTCCAGGCTCACAAAAGAGATGAGGAAGGAGCTGTGGCTCTGAGGAGAACAGTCTTGGGGGAAGGAATCTCCTCCTCCCCTGCACAGGATGTAGGTGTCATAACGCGAGACTGGCTGGCACTGGAGAGTCAGGTTTCCTCCAGGGACCGTTTGGGCACTGGGGTGAGCAGTCAGGGATGGTTGGTCCTTGTAGATACCTGAAAGAGAATGGACCCAGATGTTAAAATCTTTATTGCAATAGCACCACCATTCTCATGGCCAGAGAGAAAAAAGAAGCAGAGACAAAATTCACACCTTGCTACAGGGTAGGAATTAGGAAAATGAAAAGCAAAATTCCTCCTTTCTATGTTCCCAGAGGCGAGACCAGGGCAGGAAATGTGTCTGTGCCCAGGCAAAGCTTCCTGGGGACTCCAGCTGCCTGTCAGAGGAAGCAGGGGTGACAGGCAGCATAGGGGTATGGGGAATCCAAGAGCTGGGCAGAGACAGACAGAGCCCATAGTCAGGCCCATCAGGACAAATGAGGAGGCTGCAGAGAACCAGGAAGGCACAGTGTCCCTGGCCTCCTCACCTGTCACCACCAGCTCCAGTAACTCAGTTTGTCCTGTCCAGCTTCTTTGCTTCCAGTAATCACAGAAATACTTTCCTGCATCTAACTGTGTCACTTTTGGCAGGGAGAAGTTCACCACATCTTGGGCTCCTTCTGGGAGTCTCTCATGCCACCTGCCTCCAGGTTCTCCGTGATATAGACGCAGTGCGGTCACACCAGGTGGGACCCTGCAGAAGATTCTCACAGAACTTCCGTTGGGAATCACAGCTCCTGGCACTGCCCAGATGCAGGGAGAGGACGAGGATGCTGGAAACAGAGGCAGACCATGAGCACTGAGCAGGCAGGGGAGGTGTCCCCGACACCCGAGGATCCCGAGCTGCTCATGCGGAGGCTGTGCAACACATCCAGGGTCTAGCTGCCACTGGGCGTGAGCCTGGATCACTTCCGGCCCAGACACATGACACCAGGCTGCGGAAGAGCTTCTGTCCTTTACCCTGAAGGGGCGGCCTCACGAGGCCTGCGCAGTCTTGAGCCTGTGACACCACCTGCCTGTGCCAGAGTCCCTTGCTCTGGCTTCCAGGATCCCAATGCTCAGAATCCCTGAGGAGCAGAGTCTGCTCCGTGCTGATGCCTGCATCTCCCAACACTTGAGTGGGAATCGTAACGCTTGTCTTGAGTGTTTCTCACATGGACACAGTATAGGAGGGAAAAGTATTCACACTTCAGCACTTCCCTGGACTACTAACTGCCTGGAAGCACAAGGCAGCAGTGTGAGCTCCACTTACAACAGGAGAGGCCAAAGGTAACTTGCACACATCTCGCGATGGCTCGGCGAATTTAGTATCAAACTACTTGCGTGAGTTTTTCTTTCCTCAAGTGTGAATGCATTTAGCAGACTGTGCGCAGTTTGATTTCCACGCATAGATGTCGTCTCTCACGTAGCTAAGAATGTAGATACCCACATATTTGCCCACCATTTCTCAGGGGTCACCATGCCCACCACCTTTGTATCCATCACTGTAAGTCAGTCTCTCTCTCTCTCTCTCTCTCTCTCTCTCTCTCTCTCTCTCTCTCTATCTCTATCTCTCTCCTGAACTCAGAAGTTCAGTCTCCTCCCACCCACTCCTCAGTAACTCTGCAATCTTCAACTCCTTCACACTCGCAAGAACCTCAACAACCTTACTGGCCTGGCCCATGTACCACGCATTGTCCTTCCTCAGCACTGTACTACTGGCTTCTCCCTCCCCAACCCAGCCTGGGGAGGAATCCCATAGATCCTCCATCCCATCCTTCGACTGCTCCAGAGAGCCTGGGCACAGTGGGTATTATGTCTCCTTGAACCACTGTCTGGCGCTTTCCTTTATCTTCCTGCATAACAACCCCAACCCTGCCCCAGCCCGATCCTCACCTCGGAGCCTCACATCCTATTTAAATACATCTGTCAGCTCTGTCTTCAGCCATCAGCCCACGGTGGCTCTGCTGTCACAGGCAGTAACTCATGAGCATTGTCCCCGGTCACACACCTCTGCAAGTGCTAACTGCATGCCTACCTCCTCCTCACACGGCCCATTGCTGGACGCGCTCTGCCCTTGAAGGAGGCCACAGGATCACCTCTGACATCGCTCCAACTCAGAGCCCCCCGATGGCTCAGCCTGGCCCCTGCACGTCCCGCTCACACAGCACCAGGGATCCCCTCCCTCTACCTGCTCCCTTCCTCCTGTAACTGACTCCAGCAACGCTCGCCTTGGCACTGTCTCTGTTATCCTGCCACCAAGCTTTTCACCATAGGCGTCCCCTGACACAGCAAGTGTGCGCTTTTACCTGCATGTTCATTTCATGTCTTTGAGACGACACTGGTGTCTGCGTTTCCCAAACACACATAGCCATCACGGGGCCACAGGCACACCCATGTATCTGCACTGGGAGAGTGAGCTATACCCTTAGAGACGCGTGAGGGAAAATGAGTAGAAACCTTGTCACAGACAGCTGACAATACTGGCTCTAAGGAAATACAGGAGCATGCGCAGCACCCAGCGGCTGTGGCCTCTTCGCCATGACTCGCAGAGCAGTAAGGCCCTGGGGATTTAGCCCTCTGCTCTCTGTGTCCACTGAGAAACACCCAGGCTCTGCTCTTGGGAAGAGAAACTTGGTGACAAGGCAAAAATAACACAGAGAAGCCACAGAGCAGACACACACGGGGATGGACATTGTACTTCAAGTCTGTGTCCTGAGGAGCGATACTTGGCCTGAGACGACCTCTCATAGCTAAGGCAGTCTGCAGAATCCCCAGAGACAGCCAATGTGAGACACGCAGCCTCCCTGCAACCAGGGCCACCTCTCCTGGGGACACAGGTCCTGTGCAACGTCTGCAGGCTGAGCTGCATTCCCAGTGGATCTGGCCCGTGTGTGCCACAGGCACTGTTGGTGACTCAGTAGGGAAGGGTGGCGATGGTAGCACAGGGTGTCCTCCTCCTGCCTCATCCCAACACCTTCAGGCCCCTCCCACCCTCAGCCCAGCCGCACTCAAAGCTCCCAGCACTGAAGGGAGGGAGACTCACCACCGTGGGCCCAGATCTTGTCATCCAGAGCAGACACTGAAACAGAGAAAACTCATGAGAGATGTCCACCTGGGTTCTGCTGACCCCCCAGTCATGGGCTCAGGTCAGAGACCTAGTTAGGGATCAAGGAGTCTCCTCTAACTCTAGCCAGGAGCTCCCCGAGAAAAAAGGAAGTGAGGAGTCTGGGTGAGGGACTCAACAGCATCTGACCTCTTCCCCTTCCACCACCCACCTCCCTTCTCTGTAATACTCACCAAATGCAAGCAGCAGGGTGAGGCTAGGGGCCATAGTGTAGCCTCAGCCCAAGTCCCGACAGCTGCTCAGTAAGGAGCTCACCCAGTCAAACAGGACACCAGAGGACCACAGACTTGGGGATGGTCCTTGTCACAGGGTGATGGGATCAGCTACTAAACAGGAAGTTAACTGTTCTTGCGCAAGGCCAGAGCCTGCCCCTCAGCCTCCTCCACATCTCTGAGTTCCTGTCTGGGTTTCCTACTGGTTGTGGAAACCATGGCTAGCCTCTTCCGACTCTTTTTTTTTTTAATCTCTACTGTATGAGATCTGAAGGAAGCAGTAGAAAAAATGATGAGATACAGCAGATAGTCTGTGTCTCTTCTTCAGAAGCCACTGTCAGTGTAGGTGACACATTTGCAAACAGAAATCAAACCAAGGGAGAAGGGGCTGGGGGTAGTGGTGAGTATAAGGGCCTGGGGACCAGTGGTCAGGGGCAGCAGGATGCTCTGTCCAAGTAGGAAGCGGGGTGTTCAGGGGCCAACATTGTGTCACACACCTAGAATTGGTGAGAGCTGTGCTCTCCTGTGCCCTCATCAACATAAAATTCCACCGAGGTGAGTATAGCTGTGGAATGAATGTTCGGGCGTCAGTGACCGTGCCAACTGGGAGATGGTGTTGTGGCATGTGTCCTGCCAGGAACAAGGAGACTGCCTCACCACTTTGTCTGCCACAGCTCCTCTGCAACGTGATCATAAAGGAATAATATCCCCGAATGAGCGCACCTGAGGATTCTGTCCTGCCCCATCTCCGCTGTGCATTCCAAGCCCTTTGCACTGGGAACCTTATCCAGTTGGCGTGGACTTGCCCTGTCATCTAACCTGGGCAGTATTTAAAGTCTTGTACTCTTAGCCTTTTACAGAGGACTTTTGTGAACTTTCTCATTTAATTCTCTAGAAATATTTGAGATAATCAGATACAAAATTTACATTTCTTGTTATATAGGTCTTGCTTTATCTTGGTCTTGATCATCCAGCAGAAAAGTATAAAAATGAGGTATATAAAGTAAAGCCATATTGACATGCTGAGCTGTAAAAGGCTCTAATCAACAACTTCTGCAGATAACCCACTACTATTGTGGACTACTGGAGTGTGTTGGATTGTTTTGCTGAGGTCAAGCACCTATAATATTTAGATGCCAATAGAATACCCAATTCTGACAGAACCGAATGGGAGAGGGGGATACAGAGGAAGGAACATTTCGTATTTGTATATACAGAATAGTTAGGATAGATGTGTGGCTGCTTTCGCTTGGTTCAGGAAGAAGAAAGATTTGTAGTAGTAGTGTTTTGACGGGAGGTTCTGGCTGCTTCTTGTGCTGTGGATGACTGCTGAGAAGCTAACAATGTGCAGTGTATTAATTATTGAAAATGTCCGTTCATTTCTCCAGGCCTCCGGCTGGGGGTTCCCTCCTTCCCATGGCCAGACACCTGGCTTCCGACTTTGCCTTCTCTGGAGGTGGCGATGGCCCGGAGGGCAGGAGCCGGGCTGGGTTGACCCACAGACCTGCCTCGGCTTCCAAGGCCCTCCCGGGGGGCCAGGAGTGGGGCCGGGGGTCGGGCCAGGCCCCGAGGTGTGGGGTGTCCCTCCGTGCCGCCAGCCTTATGAGTTCTGTGGAGGGGTGGCGGCGTGCTGTGGGCCTCAGGTTGGCATGGGCCTGGCACCCCAAGGTGGCCTGGAGAGCACCCGGCCCGAGGATGAGGTGGGGGCCGGAGTAGAGAACAGCTCAGAGGAGGCCTCCCCCGAGCCCTGCGCCACCCACCCTGGTGAGGTGAAGGTAGAGGAGAAGCTGGAGCCAAACCCCGAGGAGTCCCAGGACATCAACGCCCTGCAGAAAGAACTGGAGCAGTTTGCCAAGCTGCTGAAGTAAAAGAGGATCACCTTGGGGTACACTCAGGCCGATGTGGGGCTCACTCTGGGTGCTATCCTTGGGAAGGTGTTCAGCCAGACGACCATCTGCCGCTTCGAAGCGCTGCAGCTCAGCTTCAAGAACATGTGCAAGCTGCGGCCCCTGCTGCAGAGGTGGGTGGAGGAGGCTGACAACAACAACGAGAACCTGCAGGAGAGATGCAAAATGGAAAGCCTCCTGCAGGCCCGCAAGAGAAAGCGGACGAGCATTGAGAACCAAGTGAGAGGCAGCCTGGAGAACATGTTCCTGCA